GGGGGGGGGGGGGGGGGGGGGGGGGGGGGGTCCAGAGCTTAGCCCAGAAGCTACAGGCACAAGGCGGGGGACAACCCAGGACGGGGTGGCCAGCACATCGCAGGGCACACTCACACACCATTCACTCACATATGCACACCTATGGGCAATTTAGCAATGCCAATCAGCCTCAGCATGTCTTTGGACTGTGGGGGGAAAGCGGAGTACCCAGAGGAAACCCCACGATGACATGGGGAGAACATGCAAACTCCACACAGATGTAACTCAGGCGGAGACTCAAACCTGGGTCCCAGAGGGGTGAGGCAATAGTGCTTACCACTGCACCACCACGCTGCCCCTATATTCTATTTGTTATTTATAATTTTTTATTTATTAACACACTCTGCCAGGCCGATGGTGAGCAAAAATGCAATGAAATTTCGTTCTGATGTGCACTAACCGAATTTCTGAATGACAATAAAAGTGGCTATTCTACTCTATTTTATACCCAGTAATACTGACCTAAGTATCTACAGTTTACAGTGTGGAATACCCAGTAATACTGACCTCAGTATCTCCTCCTTATCGTGTGAAATACCCAGTAACACTGACCTCAGCATAAGCAGCGTACAGTGTGGAATACCCAGTAATACTGACCTGAGTATCCCCGATTTACAGTGTGAAATACCCACTAATACTGACCTCAGTGTCTCCAGTTTACAGTGTGAATCCCCCAGCCCAGCAGAGAGCAGCTTCACTCCTGAATCCTGCAGGTCATTGTCAGTCAGGTCCAGCTCTCTGAGAGGTGAGGAGTTCAATCTTAAAGCTGAAGCCAGTTCCTCACAGCATTTCTCTGTGAGTTCACACCGGCTCACCCTTAAAAAAAAATAAACACTTTTAAATTCATTTTTTACACAACAGCACTGTATTCAAATGAGGAGAATAGGGGCCATGACATAAAAGATTTATATAAAGCAATTTATTTACTAAAAATAATTTTAACAATCATCCCGATTCTGATTGGTGTCCATTATATTTTTATCCATAGCATGTTGAAATCAGCATGTTTATCTGTAATGGTACCATTAACTTTGCTAAGCTACACAAATGTATTACATGGATTATATGGCTGAATGGATGTTTCCTGCTTCACTGCTTAATTATTTCTAACATGGATCGAGGGCTGATAAGATTGTGGGATATAAGGAAGTAGAAGAAAACAGAAGCTGTTTGTTTATCATGTAACTGCTGAAATGCATTGTGGGTTTTCTTGGTGTCTAGTTTCTTTTTTGTAAAAAAGCATATTCTGTACTCACTGCAGCTTCTCCAGTTTACAGCTGGAGTATGGCAGTATGGCAGAGAGCAGCTTCACTCCTGAGTCTCCTGGGTGATTGTAGCTCAGGTCCAGCTCTCTCAGGTGTGAGGGGTTTGACCTCAGAGCTGAAACCAGGGAAGAACAGCCTTCTTCTGTGACTCTACAGCCTGACAGCCTGCAGAAAGGAAATGAAAACATTGTTTTCTACAGCCGTCTATTTGCATGTAATTAGCTGTATAATGTGAGGGAGAGACCAGCAGCAATGGTCGGCTCTCAGGGGTTTAGCGGCTGCTTGTCTGCAAAGATATAACTGTAACACAGTGATCCTACACGACTCACTGAAGCTCACCTTTTAATCTGACATCCTGAAGTCACTGTGAATTAACGGCCATAAATGAGCATTTCATTTCCAAACCAAAGCATCGTGAGGATGGTGCACCTGTGACCCCCAGACACTGGCTGCTCAGTGTTACCCTGCCTTCCTCTCTTTTTGTTCCGTTTTCTCTCGTCCCACCTCGCCTGGGAACAGACAGCAGTGTCTCCCTCACGTCTCCCGTCTCTCACACCCAGAGACTCGGAATGAGGACGCTGCTGACTGCCAACAGCCACCCCAAACTCCCCTCTTCCTGTCGTCATTTTTATTTTTTAATAAAGTCTGCCTCACTGAGGCTTCAGTCCAGTTACCCATCGCTGCCTGTATGTCCTTAAACTCATACCACACTACAGTAAAACTGCCCACTGCCTGAAACAACTGGAATTGTGTTTTGAAACATAAATTACAGTGAAATTACAAATAAATTGATGGTTTCATGGTATGTGAGCCCAGATCCGAGGTCAGGCAGCAATTTAATACTGACCTCAGTATCTCCAGTTTACAGTGTGAATCCCCCAATCCAGCAGAGAGCAGCTTCACTCCTGAATCCTGCAGGTCATTGTCACTCAGGTCCAGCTCTCTCAGAGGGGAAGAGTTTGATCTTAGAGCTGAAATCAGCACTTCACAGTGTTTATCTATGAGATCACAGCTATTCAGCCTGAAACAGAAAACACTTTAAGACACAGACATATACACATCCTACACATTAACTAAATACAAAACATTACAATAAGCATTTGTTTTCAATATAATTAACATCACAGCTTACACTTCAAAATGAATTATAGTCTGCAGAGTGTTCTGTGCATCCTGGCAATTTGCTGCAGTCATATGGTCACTAATTATGAGTCAGTGCATCTTAGCTCAAAACTGCAGGTAAAAACATTAAGTACAAGCTACAGTACAGCCAAAAATCACAGAATATATAGGAACACATCAACAGCAAGATGGATGTGAACCTCCCATAACAGTCAGACCAGTGCTTCCAGTGCAGTCCTTAGCCACCTTTCTGCCAGGTGTCCCTACACTGGACACGTATCACTGAAAGGAGGAGATGTGAACATCCCCAGCAGCTAATGCAGCAGCAACTGACACTTGAATTCCTGATCCCTTGAGTAAAATCCATCTTCCCTGTATTGTTATACCTGGGAACATGTCAAATCACCAATTAGGTCTGGGTGATATGATGATTTTATCGGTAATCAGCGTAATCAGAGTAATCAGACAAGTATCGCAGTGTCGATATCTGACAGTGACTAACCGGCGATTATAGCCTTTGCTGGGGAAATGCGCTTAGGCTACATACAAAGCAAGATACCAGAAGGATTCATGATTTGCTTTCAGTTCAGCCTTCTAGCCTAAGATTCTGAAGCAGTAAAAAATAAACATTGCTATTATAGCACAGAATTTCACAAGCATTGTCTCTTGCAGTAAACGTGCGTTTGCCATTCTTGTAAGTTCAGTATTCACATCACCAACCTCTATGTTTGAGTCAGCAACCAGAATGTCAGCCATTCAAGTGCAGCTTTTGAGAATGTAGTCAACCTACTCATGTCTGTAACCATACCCTTGATTTGATTCTTAGCCATGGGGTCCTGCTGGAACACATATCAATTATACCTCAGAATCCTCTGCTTTCAGATCATTACTTGTTAATGTTTGATATACAGTAAAGCCTCCCTTTGGTCCCAGCTCCTAAGTACAGTATCAGACGTTCCATTGCCTCAATAACTACAACGACGTTTCTCAACCAACTTCCACAGTTCTCCAACCTTACATCTGAAGCCCCGTGTGAAAATGAACTTGAACGGGTAACTATGCATATGGAGAAATCGCTTCGCAGCACCTAGCTCTTGTAGCTCCACTTAAGAAGATAAAGCATAGAGATAAGACACCTGCCCCTTGGTGCTCTGATCATACGCGTGAACTTAAACAGGCTTCACGCAAGCTAGAGTGCAAATGGCGCTCAACTAAACTAGAAGTTTTCAGATCTGCCTGGAAAGAGCCTCTCTAAGTACAGACAAGCACTAGTGACTGCGAGGTCTGTGTACCTCTCCAGACTCATTTAAGAGAACAAAAATAATCCTAAATTCCTATTTGAATCTGTGTCTAGGTTAACATTCTTCAACGTTAAACTCACAAGCTCTTAATGACTTTAATAAATTTTTAAAGGTAAAATAACTAAAATTAGACCATCCAGTGCACGTCTGTCGCTACATACAGCTGCCAGCCTCCTGCTAGTCCTATGCATACTGATAATGTGACCTTGAATCTTTTCTTCCTATAAAACAATCAGAACTTTTGAGCTTATCTGTTAAGCCGGATGATGCATCACAGCTCTCTGGGTTAGAAGACGGTCTACTAACCCAGTGTTTATTTGTTGAAAAAATCTAAATGAGTATGTGAACAGTGATTTGGCGAAGCCCGTCTCTTGGTCGTTGGTTCCATCGACTCTGAAGCTGACAGATCTGGCTGGGCAACCAGGCAGGAGGTGAAGGAGACACAAAAAGTCCACCAGAAAGTGCAGCTGGAACAGCAGAGACTAGTAAGAACTCCGCAGAAGCCGGTCGTTTTTTGGACACAAATATAAGAAAAAAAACATGACAAAACTGAAGATTTCGATGAAACGGTAAGTGATGGGCAAATTTGGATGCGATTTTAGTGATCAACAGCCAAAAAACTATAAGGAACACCCAACACTGTTCAAGAAGCAAAAACTTTGTTGTGCAGTGTAATTTCCTTATGTGAAATACATAAAAACAGAAGTACTGTTAACTGGTCCCAAAGCTGCTTGAAATAAGTTTGACAACCTCAACCTCGGTGGTCTTCCTACCCAACCTAACACAGTGGTCAGAGATCTTGGTGTTCTGGTTGATTCAGATTTACGAACTGCGTTGTGTCATCTACGGAACACAGCCAAGCTTCGGAAGATGCTCTCCTTTCACGATGTGGAAACACTAATACATGCCTTTATAACTTCCAGACTGGACTGTAATGCCCTCCATTCTGGTTGCCCATCTGGATCCTCACATAAACTTCAGCTGGTACAAACTGCAGCAGCCAGAGTCCTTACAAACACTAAAAAAATTTATCATATTAGCCCTGCTCTATGCTCCCTTCATTGGCTTCCAGTTAAGTATCGGATTGACTACAAAATACTGCTATTAACTTATAAAGCACTGAATGGCCTTGCACCAGAATACTTTAGTAATCTGCTGACCTTATACAACCCTTCTCACTTTCTTTGATCTCAAGGAGCAGGAAATCTGTTAGTACCCAGGGTAGAAAGAGCTACGGCAGGCTGCAGAGCTTTCTCCTGTAGAGCTCCTCAGCTGTGGAATGGTGTTCCACCGGATGTGCAGGATTCAGGCTCACTCTCAATATTCAAGTCTAGACTAAAATCACACCTGTTTAGTTTAGCCTATAGGGACTCTAGTTCTAGCTCTAGCTAACTGCTCACTCCCAGTTAGATCTATAGTGTGAGGTGTAGAGCTGTGTGGGGATCGGTGCCATTGGCTTTTCATGAACTGAACTGTCAGTCAGTCACTCTAGCTTCACACCCCCTTGTGGAATTTACTTGGAAAATAAGGACACATATGTACGAATGCTGTTCATAGACTTCGGTTCAGCATTCAACACAATCATTCCTCAGCACCTGATTGGAAAGCTGAGTCTGCTGGGCCTGAACATTTCCCTCCGCAACTGGATCTTGGAATTTTTGACTGAGAGACGTCAGTCAGTCCGGATCGGAAACCGCGTCTCCAACACCACCACACTGAGCACTGGAGCCCCCCAGGGCTGTGTGCTCAGCCCACTGCTGTTCACTCTGCTGACTCACGACTGTGCAGCAATGCACAGCTCGAACCATGTCATCAAGTTCGCTGATGACACTACTGTGGTGGGTCTCATCAGCAAGAACGATGAGTCAGCATACAGAGAGGAGGTGCAACAGCTAACGGACTGGTGTAAAGTCAACAATCTGTCTCTGAATGTGGACAAAACAAAAGAGATGATTGTCGACTTCAGGAGAGCACGGAGCAATCACTGTCCACTGAATATCAATGGATCCTCTGTAGAGGTCATCAAGATCACTAAATTCCTTGGTATTCACCCAGTGGAGAACCTCTGTTGGTCTCTCAACACCAGCTCCATAACCAGGAAAGCCCAGCAGCGTCTCTACTTTCAGCGAAAACTGAGGAAAGCCCATCTCCCACCACCTATTCTCACCACCTTCTACAGAGGGACTATCGAGAGCATCCTGAACAGCTGCATCACTGTCTGGTATGGAAACTGCACCATATCGGATCGCAAGGCCCTACAGCGGATAGTGAGAACAGCTGAGAAGATCATTGGAGTATCTCTTCTCTCTATCACAGACACCTATCGCACCCGCTGCATCCACAAAGCCACCAGCATTATGGACCCCACACACCCTTCACACACACTCTCCAGCATTGTGGAGGACCCCACCACACACTCTCCAGCATTGTGGAGGACCCCACATACCCATCACACACACTCTCCAGCATTGTGGAGGACCCCACATACCCCTCACACACACTCTCCAGCATTGTGGAGGACCCCACACACCCCTCGCACACACTCTCNCCTCACACACACTCTCCAGCATTGTGGAGGACCCCACACAC